CCCGAGCCTCACCCGAGCCTCCCCCGAGCGGCGCCGGACGGGCCCGGACTGAGGCCGAGCGCGCCCCGCCCCGCCGCTTTTAACCGGCTCCGCCCCCCACGTGACCGCCCGCGCCGCCACGCCATTGGCTGCCCGCTCGGGCCACGCCCCCTGTGGCGCGTGGAAGAGACCATTGAGGCGGGGGAGGGGGGGGAACGCGCGCGGGGGGTCCCGGGATAGTTGGGGGTTTTCGGGGGAGGGGTCCCGGGGATGTCCAGGGATATTCTGGGGTCCCGGGAGGGTCCCGGGACAGTTTTAGGGTCCCGGGACAGTTTTGGGGTCCCCGGAGGGTCCCGGGACAGTTTTGGGGTCCCGGGACAGTTTTGGGGTCCCGGGGATACTTTGGGGTCCCGGGGAGGGTCCCAGGACAGTTTTGGGGTCCCGGGACAGTTTTGGGGTTCCGGGGAGGGTCCCGGGGATATTCTGGGGTCCCGGGGCAGTTTTGGGGTCCCGGGGAAGGTCCCGGGGCAGTTTTGGGGTCCCGGGGAAGGTCGCGGGGCAGTTTTGGGGTCCCGGGGAGGGTCCCGGGGATATTTTGGGGTCCCGGGCCAGTTTTGGGGTCCCGGGGCAGTTTTGGGGTGCCGGTGCCGCGGGGCTCGCACTCGCTCACGTCCCCGGGGGAGCCTTTAATGGTTCGGTCCCGTTACAGCCGAAACGCCGCGGCCCCGCCCCTTTCCCGTGACGTCACAGAGGGGTGTGGCTTACACCGCCCGCGTCCGAGGTGGGCGGGGCCAGAGACCACGCCCCCCGAGGAGAAGCCACGCCCCCACTGAGCGAGGCCACGCCCCCTCGGGCGGGGGAGGGGCGGCCCTGAGTGAGGGGGGGAGGGGGAGGAACCTCGGAGTAAAAGCGGAGTAAGGGGGGCGTGACCCCGGAGTAAAACCCCGCCCCGGAGGAGCCAGAGCGGGGAGAAGCGTCCATCGTGGGCGGGCTGGGAGTAACCCCCGAGTAAACCGTGAGGAACCCCAGAGTAAACCGTGAGGAACCCCCGAGTAAACTGTGAGGAGCCGCAAAGTAAACCGTGAGGAACCCCAGAGTAAACCGTGAGGAACCCCAGAGTAAACCGTGAGGAACCCCAGAGTAAACTGTGAGGAGCCGCAGAGTAAACTGTGAGGAGCCGCAAAGTAAACCGTGAGGAACCCCCGAGTAAACTGTGAGGAACCCCAGAGTAAACCGTGAGGAACCCCCGAGTAAACCGTGAGGAACCCCAGAGTAAACTGTAAGGAGCCGCAGAATAAACTGTGAGAAACCCCCAAGCAAACCGTGAGGAACCCCCGAGTAAACTGTGAGGAGCCGCAAAGTAAACCGTGAGGAACCCCAGAGTAAACTGTGAGGAACCACCGAGTAAACCATGAGGAACCCCCGAGCAAACCGTGAGGAACCGCAGAGTAGAACACCCACTTGGAGTAAAACGTGAGTAACTCTGGAGTGAAACCACCCTGGAGCAGAGCGTGAGTAACTCTGGAGCAGCGTCCGCCCCGCCGTGGGGCCGGGTGGTGTCGGAGTAAGTCATGAGTAACCTCAGAGTGCCGCGCCGAGCCCGGAGTCCGCAGTGAGTAACTCCTGAGTACGGAGCGCTCCCCTCCCGGCCGTGACCCCGAGCAGGGCCTGAGGAACCTCTGAGTAGCGGCGGCGCAGCGACCCTTGAGTAACGCCAAGATCCTGGGCAGGGCTGAGTAACCTCGGAGTAGGAGCCGAGTGTGAGGGCGAGTATCGGCGGAGTATCCGTGGAGCATCCTCGGAGGAGAACAGAGAGCGGAGGCCGAGTAATGCGGGAGCAGCGACTGAGCAGCCTCTGAGTAGCACGAGGAGGGGCTGAGTAGCGGCTGAGTAAAGCTGGAGCAGCGAAGGCGGCGGAGGCCCCGCCCACGGGGCGTGGGGCCCGGGAAGGCCGGAGCAACCTCGGAGTAAGCGTCGAGCAGGGTAAGGCCACCACGGGGCGAGCGCGAGGAACCTGCGAGTACGGCCGGAGCAACCTGCGAGTACGGCCGGAGCAACCTGCGAGTACGGCGGGGCAGGCCGAGAGCGGTGGGACACCGGAGGAGAGCCGGGGCTGAGTAAGCTCTGAGTAAACTCCAAGTCAAGGCTGAGTAAGCTCTGAGTAAGCTCCGAGCAGGGGCGTAGTAAGCGCCGAGCAAAGGCCAGGAGGATCGAAGCACCTGGAGGTGGGTGTGAGTAAGGAGTGAGTAGAGCCGGAGGAAGGGGGAGTGAGCACGGCTGGAGTACGGAGCCGCCGAAGCCCGGAGTACGTCTGGAGTAAGCTGTGAGCAGGGACTGAGGAGGTGCGGAGCCGTCGCTGACCGTGAGTAACCCCGGAGTAAAGCCCGGGCAGGAAGCGAGTCCTGAGCAGCCTCGGTGTAAAAGCTGAGGAGGCTCCGAGGAAGAACCGGGAGTAAGTCGGGAGTAGCCGAGAGCGAGGAGAGGCCGAGCAGCCGCGGAGTAAGGCTGGAGTAGGGCAGGGCTGGGCCGGAGCCGCCTCGGAGGAAAGTCGGAGTAACCCCGGAGTAAACCGGGCCCGGCCTGGCCGAGGAACTCCCGGGAGACGCCGCAGCCCCGAGCACGCCGGGAGTAAAGCAGGAGTAACCTCCGAGTAAGCTCCCCTCGCCCACCCCCCCAATATAGACTCTGCTTTACAATATTGCCTTGAAAAAATAAAACTCGACGTAAACCCGGAGGGGGGGGAACCCCCCAAAAAAATGGGGGGGGACCCCAAAAATGGGGAGACCCCAAAAATGGGGAAACCCCAAAAATGGGGGGACCCCAAAAATGGGGGGACCCCAAAAATGGGGAAACCCCAAAAATGGGGAGACCCAAAATGGGGAAACCCCAGAAATGGGGAGAGACCCCAAAATGGGGAAACCCCAAAAATGAGGAGAGACCCCAAAATGGGGAGACCCCAAAAATGAGGAGAGACCCCAAAATGGGGAAACCCCAGAAATGGGGAGACCCCAAAAATGAGGAGAGACCCCAAAATGGGAGGGGACCCCAAAAATGGGGAGACCCCAAAAATGGGGAGACCCCAACCCCCCCCAGAACGGGGGTCCCGCGTGAACCCCCCAAAATCCAGCAGCAATTCCTCAGGGGGGGATTTTTTGGGGGGGGGTCACCGGTCCAAGGACCCCCCCCACACACCTCCCCTCCCCCCCCCCGCAGTTTTTGGGGTGTCCCCAAAGGTTCGGAGGATTTTGGGGTGACCCCAGGCCGGATTTTGGGGTCCTGGGGCGCAGCTGCGATCCCGGGGCTGTGGGGAGAGGAAAGAGTTAAAAGGGGACCCCAAAATGATCAAATCCCCCAACTCCACCCCAAAATTTATCCCTCCCTTTTTTTGGGGTTCCTCCCATGAATTTTCGGGGGGGTCCGAACCCCGAATTTCAGGGGGGGGTTCCCCGGGTTTGGGGGATCCCAATTCCAGGGGGTTCTCCCGGGTTTTTATCCTTTTAATTTTGGGATTTTTGGGGCGTCAGCTCATTTTTGGGGTTTTGGGGGTCATCCTCCCAATTTTGGGGGGCTAATCACGAATTTCGGGGGAGCTGATCCCGGATTTTGGGAGTTGATCCCAAATTTTGGGGGCTGATCCCAAATTTTGGGGGGGGCCTCACCTGCTCAACGTCAGAACTCGGTGTCGAGCACCCGGAAGGCGGAAGAACCTGCGGGGAAAAAAGGGGTCAGGAAACCCTCCAAAAAAACCCCAAAAAAACCACAAAATCACCTCAAAAAACCCCAAAACCACCCCAAAAAAAACCCCAAAATCACCCAAAAAAACTCCCCCAAAAACCCCCAAAATCACCCAGAAAAATCCCCCAGAATCACCCCAAAAAACCCCCCAATTCACCCAGAAAAATCACCAAATCCACATCCAAAAAAACCCCAAAAAACCCAAAATCACCCCCAAAAGACCCTAAAATCACCACACTAAAAAACCCCAGGGTTCAACGTATGGATTTGGGTTTTATGGGTTTTTTTGGGATTCAGGGGTTTTTGGGGTTCAGAGGATTTTGGGATTTGGGATTTTGGGGCTCAGGGATCTTGGGGTTTGGATTTTGGGGCTCAGGGATTTTGGGGTTTGGATTTTGGGGTTTGCATTCTGAGGCTCAGGGATTTTGGGGCTCAGGATTTTTGAGGTTCAGGGGTTTTTGGGGTTCGGATTTTGGGATTTGGGATTTCGGGGCTCAGGGATTTTGGGGTTCAGATTTTGGGATTTGGGATTTCGGGGCTCAGGGATTTTGGGGCTCAGGATTTTTGGGGCTCAGGGATTTTTGAGGTTCAGATTTTGGGGTTCGGGTTTTTGGGTTTGGATTTTGAGGCTCAGGGATTTTGGGGCTCAGGATTTTTGGGGCTCAGGACTTTGAGGTTCAGGGATTTTTGGGGCTCAGGGATTTTTGAGGTTCAGATTTTTGGGTTCGGGTTTTGGGGTTTGGATTTTGAGGCTCAGGGATTTTGGGGCTCAGGATTTTTGAGGTTCAGGGATTTTTGGGGTTCAAATTTTGGGATTTAGGATTTCGGGGCTCAGGGATTTTGGGGCTCAGGATTTTTGGAACTCAGGGATTTTGGGGCTCAGGGATTTTTGAGGTTCAGGGATTTTGGGGGTTTGGTTTTTGGGGTTTGGATTTTGAGGCTCAGGGCTTTTGGGATTTGGGATTTTGGGGCTCAGGGATTTTGGGGCTCAGGACTTTGAGGTTCAGGGATTTTTGGGGTTCAGATTTTGGGGTTCGGGTTTTGGGGTTTGGATTTTGAGGCTCAGGGGTTTTGGGGCTCAGGATTTTTGAGGCTCAGGGATTTTGGGGCTCAGGGATTTTTGGGGTTCAGATTTTGGGATTTGGGATTTCGGGGCTCAGGGATTTTGGGACTCAGGGATTTCGGGGCTCAGGGATTTTTGAGGCTCAGGGATTTCGGGGCTCAGGGATTTCGGGGCTCAGGGATTTTTGAGGCTCAGGGATTTCGGGGCTCAGGGATTTTTGGGGTTCAGGGATTTTGGGATTTGGGATTTCGGGGCTCAGGGATTTTGGGGCTCAGGGATTTCGGGGCTCAGGGATTTCGGGGCTCAGGGATTTCGGGGTTCGGATTTTGGGATTTGGGATTTTGGGGCTCAGGGATTTTGGGGCTCAGGGATTTCGGGGCTCAGGGATTTTTGAGGCTCAGGGATTTCGGGGCTCAGGGATTTTTGGGGTTCGGGTTTTGGGGTGCCACCTGTGGGGGGCAGGGCCGCCGAGCGCAGCCCCGGCTCCTTCTGCAGCTGGATCTCCTTCAGGGCGAAGATGGACGTGGCTGGGGGGAGCGGAACCAGATCAGAGGGCGGGGCCAGCCCAGGCCACACCCCTAAACCCGCACCCCTGATTTGCATAGCCACACCCACCCGAGGTTAAACCCCAGCCATTCAGCCCCGCCCACAGCACAGATCCACCAATGGGAAAGCCCCATTCTGAGCCACGCCCACACTAAGACACGCCCATACAAAGCCACGCCCACTCAGAGCCACGCCCACACTAAGCCACACCTACTCTAAGCCACGCCCACTCAAAGCCACGCCCACAAAACGTCATTTAATGTTCCAAGTGAGGTCCCGCCCCATTGCCACGCCCATGCCAAGCCCCGCCCCCAATTCCCCATTCATGCAAATCTCCGTCCTCAGTGCCCCACCCCGCCAAGCCCCGCCCCAAATTCCCCACCCATGTGAAGCCCCGCCCCCAGTGCCACACCCACCTGAGGCCCCACCCAAAAGCCACACCCACACAAAGCCCCGCCCCCATGTGAAACCCCACCCCAATTACCCACC